TATATATATATATATATATATATAGCAGTTACATCATCACCATGAACAACACTTATAATGATAACAGTTCCATCATCTTCATCCTTCTTATCATCATCGTCAACAACAACAAAACAATAATAAATATTAATGTTATAATAAATGCACGAAAGGACTTTCATCCCCGCCAGGGTTACAAAGAATGTTGATGTATATTAATCATAATAACAGCGGGAAAATAATTTTAATAAAGAGCCTAACTCAAAGCAAATGAATAAATTAATATTAATAATAATAATAATAATAGTAATAATAATAGTGTTTATATACATAATCATACTGTTTGATAAAAACATTTTCGCGAAAGAATTTGATAAACTCTCCAAATATAAGAATATGGAAACAAATTACAAGAATGTGACATTTGCAATCCAGCCATTATTCGGGTAGCCGTAGGAACTCTAAGAATGATTATTAGGAAGAATATTCACAGAAACATTAAGAAAATCTCAAGAAATCCAATTTTATTTGAATTTAATGAGTATTGCTTAGATATTTAGAAAAACTCTTTCAATTTCCAAAGAAAAACTTTCAGTTACCTTAGGTCTCAGGTTGAAAACTTGGTAAATGATTGTAGATAATAACAACTCAACAACAATAATAATGACTTAGAACAATCTCTAAAATCCTTTCGAAGCGTTTGTAGAAAGCGAAAACAGGGGAGACATTACAGTCATCCAGAGAACAACATTTCTATAATCCGTAAGCGTTCTAATGGCGGTAGCGGAGTAATGAAAAGGCGCGCGCTACTATTTAATATCAAATACAATCGGACGGAAGCTTAAAAGGTATAAGAATCTCATCTAAGTGAAAATAAACAAGAATCAGAAAAGCAGCGAACACTTTCTATAAACAGACAGAATAGAATCAATATACTAGGATGGCCAGAAAGTCCTGACTCACTGAGAAATCGGAAAGAAAACTAAATTTGATGAAGCAAAAGCAACATTAGATTGCGTTAGCTGGCAGATTGTCGAGAATGCTGGACTTCATTTTGAAGAATAAATGTTAGTATTGATCCATAAAATTGTGTTGTTTTCTTTTCGTTTCCTAAGTGAGTCAGGACTTTCTGGTCAACCTAATATTTATAGCAAATTAATTCAGCTGCTTATAAAGGCAATGCTCAGGAAGAATTAGGATCTAGCAGGAATTGGACAAATGTCTTAGGCAGAGCAATGTTTATGGACACAAAACAGGCAGAGCAATGTTTATGGACACAAAACGGGCAGAGCAATGTTTATGGACACAAAACAGACAGAGCAATGTTTATGGACACAAAACAGGCAGAACAATGTTTATGGACACAAAACAGGCAGAACAATGTTTATGGACACAAAACAGACAGAGCAATGTTTATGGACACAAAACGGGCAGAACAATGTTTATGGACACAAAACAGGCAGAACAATGTTTATGGACACAAAACAGGCAGAGCAATGTTTATGGACACAAAACAGGAAGTGCAATGTTTATGGACACAAAACAGAAGCTATTCCAAATAACGGTAAAATTGTACTTTTATTAAAGTTTTAGAATTGATTTCGGCCACTCTGTAAAGACTTGGAAATTCTTCCACACCCACTACCCCCTTGTATCTCAGTGGCTTTGCTTCCTTGAATTCGGTGATGTAAATTAAAAAAAAAATTATGAGTAAAAGAAGAATACAAGACTAACGAGGTATTTTTGTCTGATAAGGAATGTCACCCATCTGCCAGTTGATGAAAAAAAATATCACTAACCGACGAAAGAACTTCAAACATAGTGAACAAATGAGAGTTAAGCTGGCGTTAGTAATCAACGGAGCACTCGGAAGGTTTTTAGAATTTCTAAAGAGTTTGCAAGAAAGATAAGGACAGAATTTGTAGCAATTCAAGGCCGCAGAATTATCGAAATTTCTTCGAATGCCACAAAAAACAAAACTGCTCTCTATTACTAACCAGAGATAACCATCCATGTCTCCCATTAGAATGCCTAACGTTCAACACCACGAAAGCACCTATTTGCGACTGCTCAGTCTCACATTGTCTGCTAACCTGCGATGGAACGAATACATTGAATCAATATCTTCGTCCACCGCAAGGAAAGTTGGTTCCCTGTGCCGCGCCAGGAAATTTTTCTCACCGGAGTCGATCCTTCAAATCTACAAATCAACCATTCCCCCTTGCATGGAATATTGCTGCCATATATGGTCTGGAGCCCCTTCTGTTTGTCTCAAGGTGCTTGATAAAATCCAGAAACGAATATGCAATGTAAGTGGCCCTGATCTGGCATCTCGTCCGCAGTCGCTCTCTCACACACGTGCCGTCGCCTCCCTCTGTCTTTTTTTACAAATACTTTCATGGTAACTGCTCCGATGAGCTGCTTTCGCTGGTTCCCAGACTTCATCAATTTAAGCGTCCAACTAGTCTGGCAGCTCATTCTCACCCTTTCACTGTCGAAACTGTTAAATGTAGCCGTCTCTTCTACTCTAATAGCTTCATGTCTCGCACTTCTCGCCTGTGGAACTCCCTCCCCTTTTCTTGTTTCTCTGATAGCTATAATCTCCAACTGTTCAAATGTAATGTCAATCGACATCTCCAGATGCCCTGATCTATCCCCTAACCTTCTCTTCATCCTTTCCTCTACCACTCCTATTTGCTCTCGCTCTAACACTTTTTAACCCCTTGCGTGCCAATGGCTTCCCGCCTTGCTTGGGGTGAAACGCTTAAAAAAAAAAACAAAAAAAAAAAGAATATTGAGGGAAATTTTAGGTGTGGTTTAACTCGATCTGCAGTGAAGGTAATCTGAAATTTCTGGTGAGGAGGTGAAATCCTTTTCCTATTATGTGTTGTACAAAA